CTCAGCTATGGGAAAACAGAAAGCAATGTAGTGCCGGTATTGGGACTGCTGGCTAAAAAGTAATGATTTTGGGGTGCTTTTGAACATTACCAAGCACAGCCAGCTAATTCCACTATTCCTTTCTCTCATGTGTAAGCCTTGCTCTCTGTACGCACTTGAAAGCATTTAGGAGAGTTTCTTTTGACATCTGACAGAGGACACCTCAGTATGTGCTGGATTCTTGCTCTCGTTCCCTGGCAACTGGGCTTTTTCTCATAGCAACAGAAGGGGAAGAGCAAAGCTTTTCCAGACAGAAAAGAGTACAGACGTGAAAAGTGAAAACAACATATTACAGTGTCAGGAGATCCTTTACTTTAGATGATGAAAAAAATCTTAAACAGTCAATGTATGTTTAACAGTACAACTCTTTGTAGGAAGGAAGGATGCTCTACAATACTGCTGATGTAGGGACCCTAAAGTAATAAGTTTGTGGACACCAACATAGAGAATATTAAAAATAAGCTTACAATTAACTATTAAACTACTGGATCATATTTGCAACTTTAATGAGCCTTTGCCTTTAGTAAGGGTTGTGTATGTCATAAATATTTTATTCTGGGAATTTGAAATAACCATGGGAGAAAAAAAAAGTATGATTTTTTCCTGTTTCTTTATCTCAAAAAGTTTTAGTATTAGACCCATGGATCTAAGTAACAGCACTGAAAGAATCGCTCCCAAGAATGGAAATATAATTCAGGCATATTCTCAGCTAAATATTTATAAAATAAGGAATTTTAAAAGTACACCTTTTAATGAAAACTTATCATAAATGAAAAAAAAAAAAAAAGGAGCTATTTTCTTCCCCGTAACTCCATGTTTATTTACATTTTCAGTACATTTTTCTTCCTCTTGTAAAACACTCTGACGATGAACAATTTTGCTGCACTGAGGGTGCAAAATTTGTATGCAGTCAATGCCTGGGTTGTCTGTGATGGGAACAAAAAGCATGTGCTCTTGCTATGCATGTTTCCTATGCATTGTCCATAACTTCCAAATGACTCACGTAGCTGGATGCTGCCTCTCTCCTGGATTCCTAAACTCCTACCTGCTTTGAGTTTAATTTGAACTTCATCTGAGTTTAATTTGTATGTTAATTAAATGTGCTCCTGTAGAGTTATCATCTATTGCAGCTTCATTTTAGGTGATTTGCAAGAGGTTGTTCAAGATCTATCATAGGGCTTGTTTATTCAATGGTCCTTCAGCTTTGTTGTGAAGATCATTAGAACAACCTGCTTAAACCCCTGTGAGGCATTTCCGAGAAAACAAAGAGACTTCAAAAGCTGCCCAGGACACAGAGTTTATTGGGAGTGCAGAGTGAGAAAGAGCAAAATGTCTTCTCCATTATTAAGTCAGACACTGCATAGCTGGAGGTAGCTGCAACAGAGTTAAGAAGAGGTAAAGCTTTTTAACCTGACCTCCTACAAGCTAATGCCTAGGCCATCAGACTGCCTGTGTTTCCCTCCCAAGATGTTTCCAATTTCACTGCTAAATTTCGTTAAAATTGGTTAAATGACTTAAGAGTAATGGACCATTATATTCCCATGACTTTTCACAAAACACCAACGCAGTAGAAAGTGATAGCAGTGACTATAGTCCAGATTTTCTATGGCACCATAAGTATCTCTTGAAAGTCAAAAGAAAATTCTTTGGTCAGAGAAAGTGCCTTCTCAGACAACAGAAAATCTATCTGCAGGACAGGAGTGCACAAGAAATCAGATTACACTGCTCTTAGAATAAGGCTTTTAACAATAATTTCTGCTGCATAGACTGATATGCTACAATGAACTTTGTAAAGTGCAGAAAAATACAATTGGAATGAGTGTCAGAGGAAGGAAAAAATGTAAGTAAAGAACAAGTGCGCTTTTAAAATGACAGAAACAAAGGACATTCAGAAAGAAGGGAAAAGATTACCTACAAATCTCTGTAAAACTGTTCTGTGTGTGATGAAGTCACAGATACTGCTAAGTTGCACATGGCATTTTCTCTTTTGTCAATGGAATAATGGTTCTGAGAGTAAACTAATTATAATCTAAGAGTTACCTGTCACTTGGTTACTGATGCATGTGGATAGATATTAAAGTATATGCCATAAAGATCAAACCCTTATAAAAGACTGAATTTTTTGTTTCAGGATTTTGAGAAGCCTACTTTCCTACCTATTCTGTAGATGCATTTGGTACAATTGGATCTCGTTGTCATCCTGAATTGAAAAATGCTTGGGAACACACTGTAATTCATCCTACAGGAACCTGCACTAGATTTAACTCTGTCATTTGCAATCTCCAAAACTGTACGTTCCATAGTGACTCAGCCTGCCTTTTAAATGGTGGGTGAGGGAAACTTCTGCATAGGAAATGAACGTTAGAGTACAAGGATGAGCACTGCTGCCATCTCTAGCAAGACCAGCTGATGTTGCAATCTGGCAGATCAAAGGAAACCAAGAGATGGAAGAGAGGCACATAATAAAAACAAACTGTTTAAAACCAAGTTGCAGAAAACTACAGTTCAGGAAACAAAGAAGCGCCATGATGTAGAGATTTGAGACTTGGATTTTGTAGACAACAGGAAAAACATAAAATTACTATCTGAGTGAACCCCCCCCCAAAAACAATGATAGCTCCCAAATTTCCTAATGTTCTGAACTCAAAAGTATGATTGCCTATACTTCTGTTTCTTTCTTATTTGATATATTGCTTAAGTTTGTTTCCATCCCCCTCTACTGCCTTAATGTTACCTCAGTGTCTCATAATGGAAAATACAAGGAATATGGGAATTGGTTGCAGATCACATCCTCAATCTGTCTTACCCATTAAGGATTATATCTCCTGTAAGATCAAGTGAAAAAGATAGAAACAGTTATACAGAAATAAGCTGTATGAGTAGAAGTATGAACAAATACAAAATTGTACCTTAATAACATTGTGATACAGAATTCAGAATAACAACTTCCATTATTTTCTCTGCATATCTCCTTGCTTAATGTCCCTTACCCAGTTGCTACCATGAGGTACAGAAAGGTTACTGGGCAAATATTTTTGAGGACTTAAATTTTTAAAAAACCTCACAAGATGCTTCATAAATTTTTATATATTAATATTTAGGCCAAAGGATAAACCAAAATGATCTGTGTGATATAATTACAAAACTATATTATGACAACATAATTAGCTATACAGATAGTGATCAGTTATCTTCATAAAAGCATATACAGGACATTTATTCTCTGTATTTTTGTTATTGTCTATACACATATGCACACAACCATCCACAATAGGGTCTTTAACTAAAAAGGGAAGGTAGCTAAAATTTAAAGGACAATGGAAATTCAGAAGTAAAAGACAAATTGTTTGAGGAAGGCATTAAAACAAAATAGAAAAAAAAAGCACTGAATTCCTATGTTCTGAACAGAGGTACTTGGAGTCAGAAGATAAATTTTTTTAAAGTAACATTGGAAGAACCACATATGCATTCAATTTCACACTTGTTTTCGAAGAAATGAAAGATTTTGTGTAAAAGCCATGGGTCCCCATGTAGAAAAGATGCCTTGTATTCTATCGTACACCCAATTCCCAATAAAAACATTCTTTACTAGGTTTTATTGCACTTTTTTCACAATAATGGAGAACGTAGCTTAGTAAACAAAGTATAAGCTTAGTTTCAAATAAATTAAAAGAGCTATCCCTGGCCTTTGAAAATGAACTTCAGTAAACAAATCCACTTTTGTTCCAGTTTTCTCATCTTCAGAATAAGAATAACAACTCTTATCTCTTTTGAGCACTAAGATGGGTAGGTCACCTGTAAGAATTTCATATCCACCTAGGATCTGGCTAATATTTCTGCTACGGTAATGTCACATTTTGCCTGAAGAAGTGCAGAAAAGGGAATTTGATGCTTTTGAAGAAAAAAAAAATTAACTAAAAGCAGCAATTCTAAAGGCATCTACCAACGCACTTTTTATTTTATGGAAGTGCTACAAAGACACCTATAAAACAGATCTTATCTCTTCTCTTTCTGCTGTTCTTTCATCAAATCTGTTTGCTTTATCAAATTGGCAAACCACAGGACATTTTCTCTTATCTCTCATGATAAAGATTACAGACACTGTAAGAATTAATGTCAGCCTCAAAACTGCATAACTTCTATCTAAATAATGTCATCATTGTGTAAATGAACTTTTTTTCCTTTTATTCATTCATTTTTTACATTAAAATATTATGCAGCCATATGTTTTCATATATAATATTTTCTAAATATAATATAAAACATTTTAAAATATTTTCCAAAGTAGGCCTTGATCAATAAAAGAAAAAAGAAAATTATAAATCATCTTAAGGAATCATCCACTTAATGTAGGAATCCATAATTTATGTCTTCGAAGTCATGTTTTGAAATTTTCAATCTTGTAGTAAATGAGGCACCATGAATTTTATGATTCTAACATCATTTTTCAATGGATTTATATCAACTTTACAATAGAAATATTTTGAAATAAATTTACATAGATTTCCTAGTAGTTCAGTTGCCTTAAAGGATTAAAAACAAATTTAAAAGAGATTCAGACACTTTTACTTCATGAAACATAACAGTTTTACCTATCATGACAAAAAATGGTAGCTATCAAACGCAGAACACAATTTAGACACTATTTTTGTGTACAGGAAAAAGTAAGCTTTTGTAATGCTTTCCTAAGTAGGGTCTGATAAACTAATAATAAAGCTGAAAAGCAGCTTTTTGTGTCCATCTGGAAGTAGAAACAAAACCCAAGAAACAACATCATGATAGCTCAATAAAAATACATTAAAAAACTACATTTGCAGTTATCTTTGAAATCTTATGAAGTTATTGCAATTTTTTGTTAAAGATATTTAAATTTTATAACATAACAGTAGAGAATTAGGCATTACCTATTATAGCATCAGCTACGCTTTTGAAAATGTAGAGTAAGATGCAAAGGTGGTGAATTTTATATGCAAATTGACTAATACATTAGTCTTCGATTAATTAATCAGTATCTTAGCAATTCCCCCACCTGGTGGTCAGGTGCAGAATTTTGCTCGCCCAGGTAAGAGATGCAAAAGAACTTTGCTATGGAGCCCTTACTTTTCCTTTTTCCACCTGGAAACTCGGCTAAAAAGATGATCCTGTGAGGAGGTAGGTTTGTACTACTCAACTTATCGGCGTACCACCCAGTTGCTTCCTGAAACTTATTCACCAAACAAGTCCAGGTGTTAAGTGGAGGTGGATGTCATATTATGGATTAACTGTCTACTATAGTAAGGGGAAGACAACATTCTGAAGAAACTGGATTGATGTAGGCCAAGATGTCCATCTTTCCAGCATCAACAAAGAGGAAGCATTATAGAGCAGCAGCTGCTCTAATTTGTTGTGGTTTGGAGAACAATTAACTACCAGGCAGAGATCCATGTGGTCCAATATTCAACACACTTGACAGCCAACAACCAGACAACAGTGTAGATAAAAGACAATTCAAGCTGGCAAACTTTAATTTTTGAGTCTCAGGAAATCAGATCCCAGATCTTAACTTCAAACAGACTAAGATATGTTGCTGGCATTCAAGCACTGACTGAAGAGTCCCAGTAAGGGGACGGAATCTGAATTATTGTTTTATCAACTAAGTAGGCAACACTCATGTGATCTTTCCTCATGAATCTGATTAAGCTGTCATGTAAAAGACAGATAATTTGGGGGTCAAATGTTAGCCAGCTCTGAAAAAGCTAATTGTATAACTACTGTTTATAGTTAAAAAGACACTGGTATGTCAATGGCAACATTTCCTAAATTGCCAGTAGTTGATACACGATCAGAAAGATCTCACATATTCCCCTTGATCTCCTATCATTTCTTTTTCTTGTTTTTTTTTTTTTTTTTTCCCTCAGTCAGCTTGAAAACTTTATAAACAAGGTTTACTTATATTTGATATTCAAAAAAAGTAGCCAAGATTAGCAGCAGTGGTTTCATAAAAAAGCAAGGATCTCTTGCAATACTGGATTCACAATTGTTTCTGGCTCACAATCTTTTTCAAGACTTGCAAGGTTCTATCTGAGTTAAGATGTCTTTGAACACTGTAAATAAAAAGTGCCTCTAGGCAAAGCCTGACTATGGATTAGTTGTTTGTTACACTAAAATAAAAATTATCTGGATTGCAAGGCTTCCAGCAAAAAGATGTTTCAGCCATTCTCCTGTGCTACTGAAGATGTTACCCACATGTCAGACTGAATAAATGGATGGAATCAAATCTGTTTCACTGTAGGAAATGAGCATGAAAATAAATGCCATTGAGAGGTTACACACAGTCTAACTGTTTACTGGAACTGGAAGCTAAAATTACAGCATTGGATATGGACCTGGCAAGCAGAGAAGTACAGCTGTATACAGTACTACATCCTCTTTCAATTTCTTAAACTAATCTCTGCATTGCTTTTCATACTAAAAGATAATAAGAAAGGGAAACAATTGTAGTAAAATATTAAGGAGTTATACTTCATTGCATCTGTTTCAATAGTATTTTTAGAGCAGTTCTATTGTTAACCTGAAGTTTTCCATACATAGCAATGGAAAAACTGTCTCCAACTCTTTGCCCACATAAACTCAAAGTAATATTCCAGAAAGAAATAGAAAAGCAGTTTTTAAACAATGGTACTGATCTTAAATTTTTGTTCACTAAAATATCAAGAAGTTTTTTATTTATGTTCTTTGTCTTGTTTTTAAAAATGTTTCATAATCTTATCAGTTTATTTTAAAATTTCTAGCACTATTGAGAATAAATAATCCTGAATTTCATATTTGAGAAATACTCCTGCTTTGAAGTTGACATTTTCCAGTGCAGCATTTAAAAAACTTCAGCTCTCATCTTCACAGATGATCTACAAAATAATGACAAACCACTGATTCAATTAATTTCTTCAGGTAGGGGAAAAAAAAAAAAAGAAATTAAAAATTACAAACTGCTATGGAATGTTATTGGACCTAAGAAGTACCAGAAAAATAAATTTAACTCAAGGTATTTTGTCAGCCCTTGTAATCCTTGGCAGAATGACAGCAAAGGCAACAGTAAGACTATAGAAAAAAAACTTGTGTATGCCTTTCAATAGATCATTGTCTGACTTTATGAGATAAGAAATTCTATTACCACTGAGTCACTGATTTTTATCAGAATTTTACCAGCTTAATGGCATAGGTAGTCATTTAGACATTTTAGCTCAATTTCCAGTGGATTATTGTTATTAAAAGTCACATCAGTGAAAGCTTTGCAATTCTGCCCCTTACCTCCTTCTCCCCCCCTCCAAAAAAAAAAACCAAAAACCATATTATTCTCATTATTTTGTTAAAAATACCTAACTATATCAATTGCTGCAATTGTGCGAACAAATCCAGGGTGCCCGCCCCCACAAAGACAGACTCCACAACATAGACTCTGGTGAGGGAGATGATGAAAGTGATTGTCAAGCTGCTTTCCATCATTACATGATGACCAGAAACTCTGGTCAGCCAGGGAGGCCCTGGATGATTGGAAACTTGCCAACGTGATGCCCATCTACAAGAAGCTTTGGAATGAGGATTCAGGAAACTATAAATCTGTCAGATTGACTTTGGTATCGGGGAAAGGTTGTGGAGCAGATCATCTTCAGTGCAATCACACAGCATGTGCAGTACAAGCAAGAGACCAGACCTAGCCAGTATGGATTCATGAAAGGCAAGTCCTGCTTGACCAACCTGATCTCTTTCTGTGACCAAGTGACCCACCTTGTGAATGAGGGAAAAGGTGTGGATGTAGTCTACCTAGACTTCAGCCTTTGACTCTGTATCCCACAGCATTCTCCTGGCGAAGCTGGCAGCCCATAGGCATACTCTTCTCTGTGTAAAGAACTGATTGAATGACTGGGCCTAGAGAGTGGTGGTGAATGGAGTTGCATTCAGCTGGTGACCAGTCACAAGTAGTGTTCCCAAGGGGCCAGTATTGAGGCCCATCCCATTGAATATCTTACTGATAATCTGGATGAGGTGATTGAGCACACCCTCAGTAGGCTTGCAGGTGACACCAAATTGAGAGGAAGTGTTGATTTGCCCAAGGGATCAAGACATGTTGTACTGATAGGCTGAGGCCAATTGACGTTGAATATGAGTAGTAAGATTTTTTCAGAAAGAGTGGGGAGGCACTAGAAGATGCAGCCTAAAGAGGTGGTGGAGTCACCGTCCCTGGAGGTGACTCAAGAATGGGGCAGATGTGGCACTGAGGGACATAGGGGGCATAGTGGGGATGGGTTGGCAGTTGAACTAGATTACTCAGAGGTCTTTTCCTACCTTATTGAATCTATGGCTATGCCATATAGCTGTGATTAAGATCTATGCTCCCACTGTTCTCAGGCCAGCATTCCTATGAAAAGCCCTTCTGATAAAGTATCAATTTTTCAGCAACTGTATTCCAAGTGATTAATACTTACACTTTACTGCAATTATTATTCGTGTATATACATATACAGCATAACTGTGTCTCCTCAGCGTATCACCTGATGTATTTGGTGACCAAACAATACTTATGTATTGAAGATAGACATAAGCAACAAATTCTAACTCTGTTACTACCACAACCAAATTATTATTCTACTCTGCTATATTCACACATATTGTAGAATATACAATGCATTGTAGAATGGAGCCAGACGGCACGTACTTACTCAGTTTTCTGACAGCATTTCTCGGCTTTAGTATATAAAGAGGATATACAAGGAAAACTGGCCTCGAAGTCCAAAACATTGAGCTTTCAAAACCGGTCAGTTACAGCAGTTATTACAGAAGATTATTGCTCATGAAAAAGCCAGACCTAGCATTTATACACTTGACATTGTCATTATATGCTGTTTTAGGTTTATAGATGGAACATTGATTTTGCAGAAGGAGCAACAAGACTGTGGAAAACAATGTTGCCTTTCAAATCCTCAAAAAGAATGAAGCCCAGTAAATGCAATGCTATCACTTGCCCTCCTGTACCACTTATGGGTGCTTAGGTAATAGGAAACGAGATGCAAGTGAAAAATGGCTTTCTTACTGAAAGATTATAGATATGCCAAGACATTGATAACTATAGTTTAGAAAACAGTGTTCTATAACATATATAAAATAAAGCCATTTTCTTCTTCAGAAGAAACAAAACCATCAGTTACAATAACATTCACACAATTCAATCGATTACCACATTTTGCACGATGTAATGCTGAGTTAAATTATATGGTATTCACTTTTGACCTCCAAATCTCCCCATACCAGCTTTAAGATTAATCTTTCAATTTTCAGGTTTATGTAGTCATTCAACTATTCTGTATGCAGACTCATACTTTTGCCAAGAAAAGATGCAAGGTCTGCAAATAGTCTGAAGTGAATGTTTCTTCCCCCCCCCCAACTCAGATCAGCGCTCCTTTGCCCAGAGAAACAAATGGCATGGATTCTTGAAAGAGGACCCACAAGTATTTAGACATCTTGAATATGGAAAATCTAAAAAAATTCTGTAAATGTAAGCCTGAAGTATGAATCTGGAATTCGAGAAAATGTTTACTGCAGTGAATAATTCTCTTCCTAAGAAATGACAGTGGTATTCTTTTAGAAATAAACAGCTGTGTCTGTTGATGTCATTGTCATTCTTGAATAAATTTGAAAACCTAGTGCCACGTGGTTCAGATTTTACAGAAGACTACTTCACCAGACATGTACACTTACTTAAATACTAACAAGTTTTTTGTTATAAAATTAATTAATTTTGTTATAAAATTAATGCACTGCTGTATGTCCACCTTCCCCCCCACACCTGTAGTAAGTTCTTAAAAGGCCAAAATCCCAAGGGCTATTTTTATACCTTAAACATATAGCAATGAATATCAGGTCTTCTTCCACACAACTTGAAATCTCAGCTGTGCAGCCTTGTTCATCAGAAGTAAAACTTTCCAAGCAATTCTCAGCAGTATACAGATCCCCAGTCACTGTAGGTAACCAAAATGTCAAATTTTCAGATTCTAAATATTTTCTATTTTTAGCCTTTCTCAATGGATTTCAACACTATCATAACTTTAACAAAACATGCTGACAGTCTCATTCTCCTTAGCTGTATTTAGGCAAGGCATTATATTGGCTGTATACAAAACACTTCCTAAGCACTCAGTAACTAGTTTCTTTATTGACCACAAAATTCTTATATTGTTTGAAGGAGTATTCCTACTGACTATTCAATTCATAATTACTTTGACCATGTTTTTCAAACAGAGCCACACATGTAACAAGAAACCCTGCAAACTATAAAATACAGAATTCCATCCTCCTCAAATGGGCAGAGAACTGAGAAAAGATTGGGAAGGAGATAGTAGGGTAGATCAGAGACCAATGCAGCAAAAGGTTATTCCCTTTGATATTCAACACCACACCATTTCAAAGGAGACTGACAAGTCAAGTCTTAAAGGTTCCCCAAAGGAAATGGATCTCAACGCACATGAATGACAAAGCTGCTACCCTGAAGATGAGAAACAGGTCTGAAAGACGTGGCTTCTTAGAGGAAGTTAGTTACCTTTTCTGGTTTCTCCAACTGCTTATTTTCATATCTTCAGCACAGCCTAAAAAGAAGAATTTTGGTATTTCTTTACATGCCTCTTTACATCCTTCTTTACATTGCTTTGTTAACTGTGTTTTATAACACTAAGGCTAAAAATGTTGCTAGTCTAGTCAATTTTTTATGTTTTTAGCACAGAATAAAACAGATAATGAACTTCATTACGCTTTTTACTTAACCGTTCATTATTGTGCTACAAGAAAGACTGAGTTAAGACACCACTACTCGTTTCTTAAATAGTTTTCATGTATACCTACTTGGGCTCATTTTGCAGGTTACACATAATTTCACCCTCTATTGTTATACACCTAGTAATGAACGAGTAGTTTACCCAGTAGTTTACCAAAATTCTTTTATCTTTCAGCAATAAACATAATATTGTTACAAATGTCCCAAAACATTACAATACATTTTGTCTTTATTTTCAAAATAAGACATCTTTTTCAATGTAAGGCAGTTTTTCCCTTTGCGAGAATGATTCCCATCACTTTTCACATGGACCACTACTTATTTTATCTTCAAATTAGTCTGTGTGTGCATTAGTCTCATAAATGTAGAATACAGTTTTCCAGTTATGACCTTATGTACTAGTGACATAGAATAACATGGAATGCTATATAACACACTACAGATTTGTCACAAAATATAAATTCCAACATTTGAAACTAAGAAAAATGTTGGAACTTTATGGATACCGTTACGTTCATTTTCTTTTTCTAGGCCATTTCAGGGTCTATTAGCTCATTAGGGCCTTATTAAAGCTTATCTATTTTCTTAAGCCTTTGGAACTGCCTACCTTGAAACTTAAGACAGCTGCAATCACAGCTGAAAAGACTTACTCATTCTCAGACATTTGCCCTTTCTCAGACAAAGCCTTTTCTAGCACATACACTGCACCTTTTTTTTTCTTTTCCCTGTAGCCTTTTCATATATTTCTTCACAGATAAAAGGAATTACAGCAAGTAATCTACTGATCATATTGAGCTCTGATACACTTTACTTTGTATTCCCTCCCTCCAAACTACCTTATCAAGAAAGGCAGGAACAGCTACGGCCTCTTGAGCAAGCTTACAGTGAAAGCAGATGATGAGCAGTAATTTGAAGTAGATTAGTGCCATACTTCTTCCTGAATTTTTCTATTAATTGATTTGGTGATTTTTGAGCTGCCTCTACTAAAGAAAGCTTCAGAATGATGCCAGTGCACCCTAAGTAGGAAGCCATAGGTCAAGAGACAGTTATTAATCATAAGATTATTTGAATGCTTATACAATCTCCAGTGTGATTACTGGAACAAAGACCAGGAATCTTCCTGGGAAGCTTCAGTTATCATACTCCAGTAAAGATAGTACAGCTAACAAACACATGGAAACCTGAATATAGTCCATGAAAAGCTTAAACATATTTTGCAACAATGTAACCACAAAAAAATAAAGGATAAAAAACCAAAGCGTGCATATAATTCATGTAAACTCCAATGAAAATAAGATACAACAACAGTAGAAACAGAAATATAGGACCAAAATTAATGGCAATTTCTTTTATTAAGCCCACTGTAACTTAAAGAAAAACATTTATTCACATTTATTTTCATCTGATTTTTACTTTGGGTCATCAGAAATTTAATAGCCTGTGCAAGATCTGTAGGAAACAACATTCAACTTGTTTATCAGTCTAAGCTTACCAAGTACATATTGTTCTTCTCAGCATAGTTATACAACTGATACTACTCCTCATGAATTAATAATTAAGTGGCCATCAACACTGCATTCAAGTAGACCAGGTTCTTGAATATTTGGTGACAGAAGAATACTTTTTAAAAGTGAAGTGCTAGAACTGCTTAGTTACAAACATAATGTATTGGTGTTAATCACGTGAAGGAAATAGACTGAAAATCAACTTCATCAGCACCCACTAAATGCTTGGAAGGATAACCAAAAATATGCTAAAAGTCACCTATTTGAGCCAATATCTTATTCCCTGCCAGGAAGATGTGAATATGCTAATCCTATGCTAAGTACTGTCTTCTTTCTAGTTCTCTATTACAAGAAAGCTATGAGAAGACATTTGTGTGAGTCCATTCACTAAATAACATATGGTCACCACATGGGACACTGGCCATTTCATATTGTTGGTTTTTCCACTTGCCTAATACATTTTAAAAATCAATGTTAAGAATTATTTCTCCATTCTGCGCCTCTGCTTTTTCTAATCATCAGATCTGTAAAAGCTATTTCAGTTTTACCCTGTGGCAATTCAAAAAATTCATGCTAAACTTCTGAGAACAGCTTGAACATATTGTTCGTTGCACAATACTGCATTTACATTAGAAGAGTAAAGATGGAGACACTTAGGGAATGAAGAGAGAAAATATATAGTTAAGATCAACTGTCCTCTCCCCACATTGTTTCAGAAAATTTTTCCTAAGAGGAACAAAAAATTCTTCATACAGTAGTCTCACAGACACTGGAAACATGATATAGCCCCATTAGAAAACAAGTCTTGTTCTTACTCTCCTCCTTCTTTAGCTGTGTTAACTTGGAGTGAGAAATCCTTGGTGAAAAAATATATTTGTCAATTATGAACATTTATCCAATAATTGAGAGGAATTAGCATGGTATCCAGAGTAGTTAAAGAATCCTTGATATCAAGTAGGAAAGGAAACAGGACTAAAATTACTAGCTGAAGCATCTTATTTTTAGTATAATAACAAAAAGTGGTCTTTCTAAAGCTTTGTGGCAATGACCTCTAATACTCTTTAAAGGCAGTTAATGTCTTTTGAGTATTTCAAATCCTTGCTATTGTTGATCGTCCTTGACAAGTTTCTCCTTAGCATCTTAACATCTTCAGATTTGTGGGGTTTCCTATTTTTATACATCAAGTACTTACCATTTTAAAAACCTAAATGTCCTATTCTCTTTTGTGGTGCAAATTCTCTTTAAATAGATAGTGTATTAAATACAGTTTTAAAATTATTTGTCTTCCTTTATGAGATCAATCTGTCAAATTTAAAAAGTTAATTTAATTTAATAGTCCCACAAGCTTTCCTAGATTAAATTAGATTAAATTTCAATATATCATGACTCAAAATTTATGTCCCCGGTATTACTATGTTTAGGTTCCACCCGGTGTTCAAATGTTACTAGTTAAATTTCTTAACATTAGTTATTTAATGTCTGTATGTATTTGCCTAGCTAAAAACTGACCTGTCATTGTTGTCTTCAGATCACAGAATAGTTAAGGTTGGAGGGGATCTTGGAGGTCAGCACTCTGGCTCAAGCCCATTAAGGCACATTACCCAATACATCAGTTTGGTTCAGTGGAAATGGTTGCAACCTCAATGAGTTCTCAAAGTACTGGTCAGAGTTTTGATCTAATTTTACTCTTCCCATTCTTCAGTTGATCACATATGCATGTAGTGCCAAGAAGCAATGATGCGAATAAGGTGTAATTATGAAACAAGGCTGTTTCCCTCTGATAAGATAGGTCTTCTAGAAGTCTGGTAAAGAGTCATGATCAGATTTTAATTTGCATTGAAGTCTTATTGTAATTCTGTAAATTCTATTTGAATATTCACAGGTCATCTATTAATGGCAACTGAAAATGGAGTTGCAAATATATTATAAAAAAAAAAGGTTGGTTTTTTTTTTTCAGAAATCTTGATATCTGTTCTCAAATTCCTTTATCAAAAATGGAGAGCACAGCTGCATTTTTTTTCCTTTTCATGGGGTTCTATTTAACCAATACAGAGTATTCTAATTAATTCCTTTCAGAAAATAATTTCAAGGGATAGAAAAATAGGAAAATGTTATATGCAGAAAAAATCCTTATTGAAATAACAACCTTGATTAAGACTCCTGACTGATTTTAGATCAAATAGATGCATGACAGACGTGCTGAGCAAACCTTGGAAATATTAGTCACACTCCCATTTTCTAGATGTGCGTTGGTTATGTACAAGCTTACACTCTATAATATAAAAATTCAGTTGGAGAACAAAAGTTTTCATTCAAGGAATATTATCTATAAGTAGCAGAGGATATGACAGACTAAATAATTTCATTTTTTCCACTTGAGATGAACCTTAGAGTGTTAAGTAGTGTATACTGGATAAGCTTTCTTTAAATAAAATTGCAGAAAATAATTATGCTTCATTCTCAGATCTCCTTCCTGCATACAAACAGTCAATACCTCGGGTCCAAATAACTCCAGAAAAGAGTGTCAACACTTCATGTGCCAGTCAAGTTTCAACTTAGGCAAGCAACAAGACATCTTCGATCTGAGTAGTTCTGGAAGCCCTATGGGTCAGCAAAAGATGCTGCCACAGCAACTGGGTGACTTATTCATATGGAACAAGTTCCAGATATAGATACCTTCCTAATCACGATGATCAGGCTGACAGAAATGATCCTTACAGTGAGAAATTGTTAGTTCTCTGCTGCCATCTCAAATCTCTGAGAAACTCAGACATTTAGAAGATCTGTTTGAGATGCACATCATAGCACCTACAGTGAATGAAAGCAGTCACTAATTTTTGATGATCCCCTTGCCATGGAGAGGTCCAAGATATTACTGAGTCATTACTAAGGGGTGGGTTAATTCTTACGCTCTCTGCTCTAATTGCAAACACACATAGTAGCAATGGTGAAATTAAAAAGATGTTCCTAACAGAAGTCTCCTGATGAGCAGTCAAATCTCATTCCCTGCTCTTAACACAAATAGTGATTAATGTGGACAAACAGTATCAGACAGTAAACATCTGTTATCTTTTCTACCACAAACAGACTTGAAGCAGCAAGCAAAAAAGATAGCCAGGAAAACATTTGAGGGTAAATGAAGTTGTAACTCTAGCTTTCACATCTGATTTACTAGTTTAGGGGGAAAAACAAGACTGAAAACAGCAAGATTACAATTAAGAGCAAACACTGATAAAATCTGTGGTCTGATCCAGAGCTGGGCTTAGATGGGTGAGAAGGGGACTGCTTCATTTCCCACTCCCCATATTTTGC